AAGGTTTTGTCATCATCAGGTACCCATTATTAGTCTCAAAGTGGGTTCCTCGTCATCGAATTTGAAAGACAGCATCAATGTTTGGACAGTATATAGCTTCTGTGTTGTATGTGTGGAGACTAGAAATAATGTAATCTGTTTTTATTACTTAACTTCTATTACCAGTAATTATTTACAAAATTAGAATTGTTTTTATTTCCTATTGTAATTGTTTTAACAAATGAGTACACACCTCTAACTTCTGTGGAAATTTTGTACTTATTTTAAACTTAATTTTTAGTTCATTTCATTTTATTCATTTCTTCATTCTCATATGTGTTTTTTATGTCTAGGTGGAAGACAATGGTTCTGTATCAAGAGGACCTCATTTACAGTTTCAGGCAAACAATACGCCACTTGGACGTTTGAGTCCAATGAATCTGACATTTACACCTTAATTGCTACATTTATCACTTAAATTAGAAGCATTTATATCTGATTGATTCTGTTTCTGTTACTGCAATTATATGTATATTTCAGATTATTTTAAGTTGAATAAATCTTACCAAATAATTAGTAACGTCTACTTGAATAGCAATCATAATGATGCCTGAACTTTTAGATTTATTATAACATAGCCTATTTCTGCTAAATACACACTGAGTTCAGCTGGTTTCCATTTAGTTAAATGTTAGTAGAAGGTATAACAATAGCAAAATTTATAGAAATTATAATTCTTATTACCTCAGTTTGTCTATTTAAATGGTGTTATAGTTCTTTCAGTGAAGGTGGGTACTATTCACTAATTTGCATTATATTTTTAAAGCAATCAGAGCTAAGTATGGCAATTTTGATTAGTTTAACCGTTAAATGTATGTTTTTAATAATCATCTTTATTTTGTAGCAGCCACTAAAGGTTTCTGGCAACAACACATCAAAAAATAATTATTTCTTGTTTAATCCAAATCTGAATTTTCGTAAAAACACATACACACGTGAAAACAATATGTAGGTACAGTTTATTTCCTCAATAAACCAAGAGAAACACTACATATAGAAATTTTAATTCTCAATATCAATTATGATATTTACCTCTACATTATATGTATTTGAATTTAGTTACTAAGAATACAGAATGAATAAATATGAAACTTTACATTTTTGGTAGTTTGCCAAAGAATAAAATTTAAAAGTTTATGTAGCTTTTCTGTGACTGGGATGTAGAGCAGTTTTAACTACTGACAACTTTGATCCACCAACTGACTCATCTAACTGGAAGAATAAGTTAGTAGCAAGTTCATAACAGCAGTTGCTTCAGTACTGACTTGAGTTGGTTATGGGATTCTTCTTAAGACAACCAGCAACAATGCATCTCATATGTTGATCTTTGCCATCAGGTAGGCGACTCCTGATCAAAGCAAGAAAAAAAATCACCAGGGCAAAGCAATCATAAGCATGTCTTGTATACCTTAGTACAAATTTGCGAAAGATGAATAACATTGCTAGAATATTGTTTCACCTGATTTCTCAATAATCCATTACTCAACAATAACCTCCACACAGTAACCCATGAATAACAAACAAAGATGGAGGAGGAATTAATAGTTTAGAGATAGGTGCGTTGAAAAAGTGGAATCCATACACTTCATGAAAACCTTATTATAAAGGATGTGTATGCCCATATTGAGCACAAAAACTTCAGTGAACCTTTATTTGAGGGAATTGTCAGACCATGACCAGTATTATGCATTTACTTAAAAAAAATGTTTCCACAGAAAGGAACATGCTTTCAAATCTTGCTAGTTATGAACAAACAGTTTAGAATAAATTGCTTGTTTGCATAAGAGCAAAGACCAATGCCCTTCTGTCACCAGGTTGATCATTCAATACAGACCATTTTAAAAACTGGCCAACAAGAAAGATTAAGAAACATTTAGGTTAAAAGTTGGATAGAGTAGGGTGAGAGCAACACTTACCTAGCTGAACCATGATCGGTTACAAAAAGACAGTAAAGGAGGAGATCTTCAGGAGGAAAAGTTGATAGTCCTGTGGATCAAAAATCCATGCTTGATAAACAATCAGTTTTTGTAGACTGAACTGAGCAGTATTTGTAAGATGCATTTGTAAGAAGAAGTAAGATGCATCTTAACCCTTTCCACACCAGGAGGATGTCTCTACATCACACATCGAAGTCTTGATTATACTGTTGTAAGCTGTATTTTTAATATTGTAATTTGGATGTGTGCTAGAAGGAGCTGCTAATAATGATAATGATGCAATATCTAGAAAGTTCATTATGGTGTAATAATCAAGGAGATTCATGAAATATATGGAAGTGAGGGTACATTATAAATCCATTAATGGGTATGAAAAAATGAATGAGTATTCAATGAGTGTTTCAGTTCAGTGTTAGTGGGAGTCAGTGCATCTACTTAGTGACTTGACAGATAAACATGAAATTTTTGTAAGTTTTGTATTTGTCAGTTAGATGTCGGTAACATCATTATTATAGTTTATGCTGAAAGTAAAAATATGTGAACTTAGGCCTATAACTTGTGTAAAAGTGAATGTACCATGTAGAAAACATTGTAGAAGAAATAGATTAATTCATTATTATTACATTAACTGGACTTCTTGTTATTTTTCCCAAATAATCTGAAAAAAACCTGCCTAATGATAGGAAATGTTATAACATTTTTTTCGATGGAGGGGCACGACATCAAACATTTCAACAATAGTTGTGCAATTGTAATTTTCACTACTGCGGACAGATACAAATTTTGATATTAGAAATGCGTAATAACTCAATGTAGGACACACTGTGTACTGTTCTTTAAAAGGGAGTTATATTTATGATTCTTTGTATTTTAGACATTATAAAACAATTGAATATGAGTTATATATACTTTTGGTGATGGTAGCTTGGCACATGTCTGAGAGTGGGATGGGTAATTGTTTCTAAAGTGTCTTAGTGAAAGTTTTATGAATATATACATTAACCATGTACCTTTTTTTTACGCATTTCATTTTTTATATATTTACATTGATTATACAGTAGTGTCTATTCAGTCATTGCATATAGCATAAATGTGATTGTAAAGTATATTTTGGTTAGTATTTTATGGGGGGGGGGGCAGTTGTGCTCTGATGTACCACAGCCAAAGATACCTAAATTCTGCACTATACCATTGATTTTTTTAATTCCAAGAATTTGGTTTTACATTCATCATGAAACAAGTTATACAACTTGTATTCAATAGTATTCAAGCCTCAATATTTACTTATTTTACCCAAATCTGAATTTAAAAGAAATAATGTATCAAAAAAGAAAATTTTAATGAAAACCAGCTCCAAAACTTATATGAATTAAAACTGGATAGAATGTTATTTTAAATTATCAACTAAAGTAAATTTTTCAAAATCATTTTAAAAACCTGCCAATGTGATTTTTATGAAAATGAGATTTACAAGTTACAAATCAAAGTTGATACAAGTCCATATTAAATTTAAACTAGTCCATGTATATATATATATATATATATATACATTTGTAACACTGATGAATATTCATGATCAATGTGTGGCTATGACACACTGGCTCACACAATATATGTCTCAACAAGACTATATTTAATTAGTTTATATCACTAATTTATTAGTTAATTAAATAAATTATATTTAAATTGCCCTAAAAAGAATGCTGAACACTAGATCATTAGTTTATTAAATTTCCTGATCACTATATGTCCTAAAAGGATGATATCATGAAATAATTAAAACTTATTGTTTCACTCTTTAATTATCAACCAAATGTTTCAAGATTTTCAGTACTAATTTATTATTTAATTATATTACCTGTTCTAAAAGTACTATATCATAATTAAAACTTACTCTTTTAATTATCAATCAAGTCTTTCACATATAATCAATATCTATATGTATTTACCATTATTTTAATGACTGTCTATAGGATTTTACCAAATTTACTGTGACAGTGTTACTACCACGTGTGATCAATGTCTAGATTTAATTATGTTAAAACCATTATTTTGCATATTTTAACATCCATACCGATACAATTCGCTACAACTAAAAATAATAAATGAATGACTTACTGTTTATCCATCCATTTTCTATATAGCCATTAATCACTGGCAAACACGCCTTAAACTTCATTGTGCACACAAATCTGGTGAAAGTATACATTAATTAGCTGTTCATAGCTTCTTTCAGACAATGTTCTGTACAACACTCACTGTTTCACTTTTATGAATAAACCATATTATTAAATAGAGTTACTATAACCAATAATCGCCCTACAACTAAATATAATAAATGAATGACTTACTATTTAACTTTACTATTATTCAAAATACCAATATACATAGAACTTTTAGACTATGATAACTATTAGGTATTCACACTCGTACAAACAGTGTGGGCACTGATGTCAAGACAGATAATTGTTAGGAGGCTGTCACATGGTCACACATACAGTGTGGGGCTGTGAGATATTTCAACTTACCAGTCGATGATATGTTTTGACCTTTCTTCATTAGACACATTGAAAAGAACATTACCTGTTCATTTCTACATCTTTCAAAACTTTATGTACATTTAAACTTAGTTGTTTTAAAAATACACAAATGAACATCACAGACATTTAACTATGATTCTTCGATTATTTCACTTTATAGAAATATCATAAGTTACAAATCATTATTCTGTGATTATTTTATATAAAACTCACGTTTCGTCATTGTCCAATATACTATCATGTAAGTAAAATTAACAAGTATCATACACACATAAAAACTTTAGGTACTATAAACATTATAGTTTATAATTTACTGGAGTAGCTTTCATACAAACTATTTCCATTCCAACTCAATATCTAAGATTTTATATTGTTACGTCTCCGTTTGTTAATTAACCTTCCGTAACTTCGTTCCGACGAAACTTTAGCGACACAAGTCCTTACTTAATAAAACTGGTTTATTCTTTCCGAATACAACTTTACGATACACTTATTTTCAACAA